CTTGGCATCGGGTGGCTACTGGCTGTAGTTTCCGATCTTAGAAAACTTCCTTTTTTTCAGACGATGATTCTCCGTCTTGCCTAACTGCTGTTGCTGCTGGTCATGCCCTCTGGGAAGTCTGTGGTCTTCAAAAGTAACTTTTCCTAAAACAGGCTTGTGGTGCGACTCTTTCCAGCCCACCTGCTCTTGTGTTTACCTGTCTCAGCTGGAGACAGCAGCCCTCGGCAGGTGTTATTCAGCCTGGCCCTGGGAGCCCATTCAGAGGGCCCTAGATTGACTCTCCTCCATCATGGGTCTGGAAAGGACAGAATCCTGCTGGTGTGTCAATCTATGCGAGCAAGAAATTATCCCTTTCAGATTCATTGCTGCAATGTGGGGCAAGGCCAGGGCCTCCATTAACCCTTGAAATTGCCTGTTTTCAGTCCTGGATGCTAGAATAGGGCTCAGCTTTGCAGTTTATACTTTCAGGTAGGCTGGGATGAGCACTGCTTCTCTTCCTCACCTCTCGTTACATTTGGCAATATGTGTATTTTAATTTAATTTTTTTTTCTTCCTTGGAAGCTGCTCTGGGCTTCCTGTGATTTGGTTTCATGTCAAGTGTCTGCTGTCCATGAATATGTTCATAATAAGTTTACTAGCACCATGTCCAATGGCTGGCTAAGCTGCCGGCCAGCTTCTGCGTACGGAGTGGAGGTGGCCGCCATCTTGTCTTTGACCTTAAGCAGCAAAAAAGTATTTGCCTGGGAGGTGGTCTGCATTGCAGCGACACCTGGCCTCAGGTGTGTGAAATGAAAAACCGAGATTCTTTGGGAGAAAAAAACCAAGTGACTTCCCTCCTTGCAGGCTTGATTCATCCTTATTTTGCAAATATGAGCAGAAAGCATCACACACTTTTAAAAATTCAAGCGATGCTTTCTCTCCAGCCAATGACACTCCTGGGGCTTGAGAGATGGAGGCTCTGCCGTTGCTTAGCAACAGCCCTTCAGAAGGATGCGGTGACCTCTTTGGTGCCTGTCATTTACGTTGCTAAGGCAACCGTCGGGCAAATGAGCAAAGTCTAGAAATGTATGGGAAACACGTCTGGTTTGAGATTATATAGGAAGTGAGGAGGGGCATGAAGCCCCCACAAAATTCAGAGGGCTTCCCCCCATGCTGAGACCTCTGGATTTTTCACACAATGTTCCAGCGATGTGGAATTTCTGTACATTTTCAATTCCCCCCCCCCAGAAAACAACACATTTTCCCCTGTTTGATTTTTGTCCTGGAAAAATGGAAATTTTCAGAAATTTGACATCTCTAGAGAGAACTCAAATACATTAAAGTCTCAGAGGTTTTTCATTGAAGTGTTATATAGTTTGAATGCCATGTCGAAGACATATTTATCCATTGTAAAAGAACATATTCCACACTCCATTAAAAAATATTCTGGGAAAAATGGGAAAAAGTAGTTTTTCTCTAGTTTTTCTGTTTCCTCCCCATCTCTACACCAACCGGGACCCCACCTTCCCTCATCCCCAGCTAACATGACCATTGGGGGATGATGGGGTTTTAGAAATTTGCATCTGGGGGGACATTGGGGGGGGGAGTAAGATGGACCATCCATCATCCACTAGATCAGTGGTTCTTAACCTTTTTGAAAGAAACGCCCCCTTGAGCCATTGAGGAAGTTATCATCGCCCCCCCTCCCTGAGGTGATGATATCTTACCTACCTACCTACCTACCTACCTACCTACCTA